CCGGCCTTGGCACGGTCCAGGTTCGTAGCCAGCCCAGTGATGGTGATGATATCCGACTGCAGCTCAGGAGCAGGGACCTGGATGTTCACCTGAGTAACAAGTAACCATTACCATTTTGTATCACTGCAGGTTGGCATCTCACTGATCTCCCCTGCTGCCAAGACCAGCTCCCACCCAGACAGCCTGAACCACAGAATCACAGAATGGTTGAGGTTGGAGGGGACCTCTGGAGGTCAATCTGGTCCAACCCCCCTGCTCAAGCAGGGCCACCTAGAGTCAGCTGCCCGGGACCGTGTCTGGACAGTTTTTGAATAGACCCATGTTTCTTCAGCCATTATCTATATCAGATTGTTTTGCTGTGGGGCTTCAGTCCCCAGCAGTCCCTGAGCCAGCCTGGAGAGGCTAGGAAACAAACACATGTTCAATAGCACTGCCTGCAGCCAACCTGCATCAGCCTCAGGAGTCCCTGTGGGCTTCTGGGGAATTCTCCCAAACGGGCAGGCACAGCAGAGCTGTTTCCCATGGCCTAGGAGGAAAACAACTCTCACACTGGTGAGGAATCCCTGTAGGCACCAAACAAGTCATGCAACACTCACGGCATCAACACCGATCATACAGCTTCAGCACGAAACCTACTGAGCCCTGGTGCCAGGGACTAAATCAAACAGGTCTCATTTTCTTATTACAGAGCCTGTATTCCATGGTCAAGCCAGGAAGGTCCTGAGTATGTCGCAGCTGATTGCCATCACCACAAACATGGTCACTTACAGATTCTCCAGGACAGAGGAGATGGGAGGAAGGGCAACAACTTACTTCAAACTCATCCATCATTTTGCGGATCCCACTTCCTTTCTGGCCAATGATGTAACGGTGAAGATCAAAGGGAACTTCCACCTCAATAGTGACAGGAACCAGAGCCTGCAGGGGAGGGAGCAGAGTTTACCACTTGAAAAACTTCTCCTGTCTTTCAGCTTGCCATATACTTGCCCAAAAGAACGTGTTGCTGAACTGAGGTACACTCCCTTGTAGTCAGGATACAAACTCTACAGGAAGAGAGAACAGCTGCAAACACCAAGATAACCTGTTGGTTGTTAAAGCATTTTTTCCAAACAAGCAATGTTAAACCCCGCCTCTGGGGACAGGCTGTTTTCATATCCTTGGCTTCCATCTAGCAGAGACTTGGACAACATAAAGAAGCATGGCAAGGTCTCTGCTAAAGCTAGAATGATTCAGCCTCAATCAGATTCTTTCTCCTTCCAGCTGTGCTCCATAAAACAAGCATGTCATGCTTTTATGGCAAGTAACTCGGGGCTGCCTACAAGCTCTAGCAACTGCGAGGTCAGGCACTATGACACTGCGAGGTCAAGCCACCAGGCTAAATCACAGAGCAATCAGAGGACTTCCCTTGAGTGGTACAGACCACCTCCACAGTTAGCATCAGTGACCACCTGGATTGCAACCTTGACTGAGTAGTTTTTATTACCATCACTAAAGCCTGCAGTGAGCTTCTTGCATCAGGGCATCACTACATTACATGGCTAAGGGGCTTAGAAAGCCACATACCTGCAGTGCCTCCTTGGCTGCCTCACACTTCTCCCTGCGGCCAGAGATGATGATGATATCGCACTTCTTTGGAGAGCTGGGATCTGCATCCTTCCCATCCTTGCCTTCCCCACCTTCCTCACCATTCTCCTGCACAACTGGCTCTGTAACAGGGGCTGGAAACATGGAAAGTCTCGTGTTAAATGCACAGAGTCCCCTCCTTGCTCATTATCTCCTCCTTCAGATCCCCAGGCTCAGCCTGGGCTTTGCCACAAGAGGTCAGACATTATAGACTGCTATGGAGGAGATTACTCCTAGCACAGGCAGCTTGCTATGGCTTAGCCTGGAATGAGCAGAACAAGAACATCCACCGAGACAGTCTCCTCCATACCTCTCTGCACAGCACTGATACTGCCTTTGCCTGCATGGAAAGGACCTGCAGCTGCACTATGGAAGTGGAGGCTGCACTCCTATGTCAGCAGAGGCAACAAGTAAGGCTGGCAGTTTCTTCCCAACAGGGAAGTTCACCAGCACAGGACTGGATGTTACAGCAGGATGGCTGGTGCTAGGCCAGAGTATCCAACAGGCCCTAGCTGTGCTGGAGGTACACCAGTACACCCAGCAATGAGAGAGCATGAGAGATCAGAGAGATCTCGGCAAGCCTGTAGAGCCCTTTTTGCCAGAGTAGGACTTCATACTCCCGGTGCTCTGCGGTGAGAACACATTCAGAACACCCAGGTCTGCGGTTTTACCTCCTGAAACTGTTCCCTCTTCCCAAGAGAACAAGGTTGATGCTAAGCCCAGATTCAAGGACACTGCAGGGAACACCTGGGGTCAGTTCTCCATAGATTTTAAGGAGAACATCTCCACTGATATGGAGTGTAGGCTACACTCCACTCCACTCATTTGATCACCTCAACTACCATGTGAACATGCATCCATGGGTATACCTGGGTTCTCCTCCCTGTCGGGGAATTTGATCTGGACACCATAGTCCCGGGTGATCTGCTGGATGCGGGATCCTTTGGGGCCCATAATGGAGCGGTGGAACTTTTGTGGGATGGTGCATTCGATTGTCACTTGAGCTTCCTGTGAGAAAGCAGAGTTGCTCTGTTGCGATGCAGCCTCTTTCACACCGGAAAACAGGATGCTTGTGCATGGTGAAATCCATAATGGACATAGCGAGGAGTTAGAAAAGATAACAGCTGCTGACAGAGGAAGATCTGAAAGTTTCCTAGAATCTTTCCTCTCTCAGAGAAGTTAGCAGAGGATTTCTTAATGAAGGCTGCCTCCAACCCATGATGTTAAAGGCTTCCAAGACCAAAGCTCAAGCTCTCTATTACCCTGAAGAGGAGGAAGCATTAGAAGAAAGGAAAAAGATAAAGAAGGAAGGAAAGGAAGAGAACGGGTTTGACAGTTGGCTGCTTCCAAAAGACAATACTAACAGCACAGGAAACTCCAGAGAGCAACCACTGCCCAAGGCCAGGCATGGAGAGGCACAAGAAGGCTCCAATCTGTTAATGTCTAGAAGTACACCAAGGAAGGGTCTCCTGTTTCCACTTCTAAAACCCAAGAAGATGGTCAGAGGAGGCAATTCCTTCATATAGCATTGCCATTTTGGAGCCAGCTGCCATTCCCCAGGCTGGGATCTAAAGTCTGCAGACCCTATATATGTTGACAGCAAAGCTTCAAATCCCAGAACTACTGTGGGACTTGTTCACATAAAGCTTGGTGTACAGTATAGAAGAAACAGCTTTCCTGGAACATACCAGGTCCTCGATGATCTCCTGGATGCGTTTCTTGGCTGCCTCCACACAGTCCTTGGCTCCCTTGAGGGTGACTTTGTCGCTTTGGGTGCCAGAGCGTGGGAAGCTGACCATCACACCACCATACTCATCTGCTATCTCACGCAGAACTTGCCCTCTCCGGATGACAAAGTGGCGGTGGTGCTTGGGGTCAACCACCATGGAGTCTTCAACCACATTATCCTGCCAACAGATGACAGCCAGTCAACCCTGCCTGTCCTGGTGATAAGCACAAGTCTGCTGCACTAAACAGCAATCAGTTTACAACCTCACCTCAACAAGTGACAGCAAGGAGGATCTTCCTGAGCTCCCATGAAGGGACGCAGAAGGTTTTAGGACAAGCACGTCCTCCACACTGACTTATTACATCTTGCTACAGCAACAGGCAAGAAAGGAGAAAAAGTAGTTCGTACCAGGTTCTTGATGAGGGCCTCCAACTCCTTCTGCGCCTCTTTGACAGCCTCCTCAGTTCCCATGATAGTAATCAGCTCCTGATCTTTGTCCTCAGAGGTTGGGAAGATGATGCGGGCCCCAGTGTTGTCACGCACCTTACGGATGTTGCCACCACCCTTACCAATAAGGAATTTGTGGTACTCTGGCTTCGCACGGAGGTCCACGGTGTAGCTCTTTGTTTGCTTAAAGGAGTCAGATACCCATAGAACATGTCAATATATAGAAAATACACATCAGCATCAACAGTAAGCATGCAGGTATGTTACCTACACCCACATACGCAGTGTTGCAAGAGCAAGGTAGATGCAGCGTGCTGTTGAAGTCAAAAAGGTATACAATGTCTTAAATTAAAAACACTACCCAAAAGATGTTCTCAGGGCTGAAAAGCTAACTCTACACTCAGCACGACTGGTGAGAATATGAGCAGAAAAGACTTCCCTGGGAGAAGGGTCTGACACTCACACAAGGCAGGATAACCTTTTGCTATCTGACTGCTGCAAGCCAGGCAGCAGAGGCAACCAACCAATCAGGAGAACATGTTCACATGCTGATATTAGAAAGGGTTTTTTCTTGCTAGTAAAATGACCAGTCAGTCACAACTCAGAGAAAGGTCTTGTAACCTGAGGTTACTCTAACCTGGATATATGCAGCGAAATGGAAGAACTGGAGCTGGAATTCAGAGATTGAGAAAAAAGGAAAGGAGATACAGAGTAAGCTGTTTCAGAGAAGTGTGGATACCCAACGGCATTCAAACCATGGGAGTAGGGAACCTTAACCCTTTGAATATGCCTGGGGAGAGAAGCATTACAGCCAGTTCTTCTACCATGGGGGAAGAACTCATTATCACAAGAATGGAAGCATTGTTTTTTTTTAATCATTCAAACTGTACTCAAATCCCTTAAAAGAGGATTAGGCTGTCTGATGCCAGAGGTTTCCCAGCAGGCAGAGGGGATCGCTTCAACCCCAGAAAAGAAACAGCTTACTAAAACAATCTGCTCCTTCCCCTGTGAGACAAGGCTCACCTTCTCCTCTGCCAGGTGCAGCAGCTGTTTCTTGGCTTTCTCCACATCCTGGGCTGGGCCCCTGATGGTCACAGTGTCACTGCCAGAGCCCTCAGTGGGGAAGTGGATGTGGACTCCACCACACTCCTCCATGATGGAGCGGATGAAGCGGCCTTTGGCGCCAATGAGGGAATTGTGCAGTTTGGAAGGAATAGAGACCTCCACCTCTGTGATGTTGGCCTAAGAGAGGACAGTACCAGGCTGTTAGTCAAGCTGCAGAAATGTGTTTGTGTCCACTCTGCTTACCCTCCCACTCCCACACTGCTAGGAGCTTTACAGAGCTGTGTCTAAGAAATGCTTGACCAGAGGGGTTTGAGACTGGCTAATCCTGACACATGAGCAGCCACAAACTTAGGTGTAAGAGTCAAGAACAGACTGACATTCACATTTGTCTCCTCCCTACTACAAGCACTTCTTCTGTATTTATGTCTTCTAGCAACATTTTCAAGTCTCTCATCTGCAACAGGCCAGTCATTTCACTTACCAGCTCCTTCTGGATGGCAAGAATTCTGTGGCGAGCAGCCTCACAGTTTGCTCTCTTGCCTGTAATAACAATTGTCTCCGAGTTGCTGTTCTCTGCTGGGAGATCAATTTTGGTGTTGCTTTCTTCACGGATCTGCCACAAAGAAAAAAAAAAAAATCATCTCAGAGGTGTCCCGTGTCACAAAAAAGCCTTTGGAGGTTATATTTCACATCACCAATGAGCAGGAGAGAGCAGCAGGTGGGATTTAGCTGCAGGCAGTGAACATACTGAGCACTGGAGATAGGAAAGATATCTCACCTTCTTGATGTTGGCACCTCCTTTTCCTATGATGTTCTTGTGGAACTGTTTGAAGATGGGGACAGAAATAGAAAAGCTGTTTTCAACCTAAGGGAGAAAGGAAGGGAGAACTGAAGATTACACTGTCATGGCAAGCAAGGCCCCATCCCAGAAACTTGATAAACAAGCTTTTGACAATAGCCTTAGTCCCCAAGGAAGTTCTCTATACAACACACTTGCAAGTATAGGCAAAGGGAAGTACCTTCCCCTATAGCCCTTAAGTAACAGGTATTACCCTCCTACCCCCATCCAGCCAGAACAGTGTACACAGCTCCCTCATCTCGAGGTGTTTCAGCCCTAGCCAAGCCAGTACAGTTCTGCTTTATTCCAGGGTTATCCAGGCATGTAGGAGAGAACAGCAAACAGAAGACCCCCTTACCAGGTCTGCCACCATCTTTTGCATGTACTTGGTGCACTTCTCCACCTCGTTTTTGGGACCTCTAAGTTGGACGATGTCACTCTTGTGTGCAGGGTCTGGGAAGTTGATGATAACCTGCAAGAGGTGGTCATTTATAGTCAACTCAAGCAAATGCAAGAATTGCTGTGTCAGACACATGCAAAGGTTGGGGCGATCCTATACATCCCCTGTCCCATTCGGAAAAGGATAAGCATGTTATCAGCCTCTGGCCAAAAGAACTATCTTCTCATACATATTAGATACAGAGCCACTAAATTTATGACTTCAGTGACGATGTGTCTACTACCCAAGTAGGAAATATCCCCTCTGGATTCCTCATCTCCTAGAAAGCCTTACCTCTGGGAATTTCTCCCGGATTTCCCTGATCCGCTCACCCTTCTGCCCAATGATGGTCCGGTGGAATTTCTGCTCAATGATTAGGTCCTTGGTGCGTTCATTTTCCTGATGAGAATAGAGTTTACATTGAGTGTTCAGAAGGAGAGCCACATACTTTTATTTACCAGTTTGCTGCCTGACAGTTTACTTGCCAGCATCGTCCCTCTTTTCTCCTCTAGACAAAATTCACTCTAGGTTGACAGAGAAGGGGTATCCAAGGGAATAGAACACATCTGTGAAGAGGAACTCGCACTTGTCATGAGATCCAAGTGCTCGGTGGGCAAGGGGCACACACTTGCACCGGAAGGTTACGAGGGAACATAATAGCTCAAACCTTGCAGCCTCCCAAGCATCACATCCTACTCACCATACGGGAAGCGAGTTCCAGCAGCTCTTTCTTGGCCTGTTGGACCCCCTGTGGGTCTCCTTCAATTCTGATCAGGTTGCTCTTCTCATTGTCCGGGGGAATGCGCACAGACACCTTGTAGAGGTCCTTAATCCTGTTAACTTCAAGGTAAGGACTGTGGTGACACAGTCTGCTAGGCCAAGACTTGGAAGCAAGGCACTTTGATTATCACTGCTTAGAGGCTGTTTAAGAAGTAAATCAGCCTCTAAGAAGGGACCAGTGGGGTGGGGTTGAAACAGGGAACGTGCCTCTTCACCCTGGAGTTCAGCGAGAACAGATCTGTGCCACACTAGAACCTGTACAAGTAAATACTGTGGCATCTACAGAGCCAATTGTTCGCTTGCCAGAGTGAGGCATCTGTTTCTTCCCCAAACAGTACCACATTTAGATCAGAAGATGATCATTCATTTCTAATCCCAAATTATTTTCTGGGGAGAAACTCACCAAGCAGATTTCCACCACCCCCAATTGGCTGCTAAAATGTAATTCACATAGAGCAACTTCAAAAAAAAAAAAAAAAGACAATTCTCCAACAACACAAAAAAAAATTCCTCCAGGACATGGCAAAGTAATCCTACCACTGTTCAACCTCCCAAGACACTTTCACACATTAAAGCCACCCCAAGGCCTCACTGTCCATTTATCTTCTTGTGCCAACACCATTTCAGAAGAGCAGAGGAAACATGATGGAGACAGCACACTGCATGAGCTACAGAGCCCCTGATACGGTCTACTAAACACCCAGAGTCCAAGCATAGGAAGGATTAGAAAGGCACCCCACTTACTGTTAGCTCCATTCTTGCCAATGAGGTGTCGGTGGAATTTGTGGTCAACGTTGATTTCTGCATAATCCATCCGGTTGATCTATAGAGAATTGTACAGGACTAGGTAGGGTAGGCCACCACTTCTGTCTTGTGCCCTAAGTAACAGCCTACTGCCAGTGCCAGTCATTGGCACTGACTCTCCAGTAATCAGCTACAAGCACTCCTCCTGCTGTTAAGCAGAGCAGAAGCACTCCACTGGTTTGAGCTGAGAGCAACATGCTTGTGAAACATTTAAAGGGACTTATATGCCTCTCCAGCTACAACTGAAAGAGAGTCATATTCCTTCTCTGCATCAAAAGATTTAAGACCTGCTGCTGATTTTTTAAAAATGCCATGGGTGAGCTTCGTAACCAAGGGTTTCATCCATCTGCTATACAGCTTGTCTTCTGCAAGTTCTGTTAAGCATGTCAAGGCATCATATGGATGCGGTACACACCTCATCATCTCTGCTCTGTTGCCCCTTCTTCCCCCACTTTCTTCTTATGTACTCAAACTAGTAACACCAACTTACCAGATCCTTGACCATGACTTCAATCTGTTCCTGAGCCACGTTCACATCTTCTGTAGGTCCTTCCAAAGTGATTTTATCCTCTCCTTCAGTGAATTCGATGTGAACCTTGAGACACAGCAATGAATCCAGTAAGAATTTTCCAAGATACAAGCCAGGTCAATGCTGTTTGTCAGGCCTACACCATCAATCCCTGCCATTAAGAGATGGTTTTCTTCCCACAAAATACACACATCATTCCCATGGTTTCAGAAGTAGGTAACTTGCAATTCGGGCCACATCACAGCATCTAGAGCCCAAGGCTTTGGTGCTGTCCTGGAGTCTGCAATGGCTTTCGAGAAGTTACTCACCTAGCCTTTCTCTAGATATCATCTAACTCACCAGGGAGAAGCCTCACGGAAGTCAGCATTTGCAGGTATCCTACTACATGAATTCTCAATATAGTACTACATAAAGCTTCCTTTGAAGGGCTCAACCCATGAGAATAACATAGGATGAGTAGTGTTTGCAGCAGTAGAAGAGAGGCTCCCCTTAATATTAAGATCTGTGTCATTTCCTCCCTGGTTTTACCCACGCTAGAATACATTTCTCTCTTCTACAAACAGTGATCTGGACTAAACCATACTCTGCATCAGAGGGTGCTAAGCTAACCAGCTCATCCATACCTTTGGCATCTGCTGAGTTATTTTGGCCAGGTTTTGTCCTTTCTTTCCAATAATGAAACGATGAAGCCAAGAGGGGGCAGAGACCGAGGAGACGGTAAAACTGTTGGCCTAGACAGAAAAACAGAGAAGCTGTTCAATGGGCAGACTGGAAGAGGTCTTCATAAAACTTCAGTTCCAATTCCCACGTTGCACCCTCAGTATCGACTTCTAAGCTGCATCTCTAACAGCCCAACAGAGACCACCCCCCCTACACTTGTCAGTGCTCATGGATATATCTTTATGGGACTTTCAAAGAAGACCTAGCCCATCTCATCAGTACCTTTGCATAGACTTCAGTCAATGCTTGCCCAAGCTTTTCAGGCTCGCCTCGCAGTATCACCGTCTCCGAGCTACTGTCAGTGGGTGGGATCTCGACAGAGACTCCAGTTTTCTCCAAGATCTCCTGCAGGGAATTCCCCTTGGGGCCGATGACATACTTGTGCTGGGACTTCTTCACCTCCACTGCAATGGTAGTAGTCTTCTTTTTCTGTAGGGACAGAGGCACTGGGGCATCAATCACAAGGGGGCAGGGAAGGAGAATAGTGAAAGGAAGAAGCACAAGATGCAGTGAAACTCTGCACCCAGGAAAGAGCAAAGCAAAGGTGAGCACAGTGGTTCTGCAGTACCCAGCATCCTTCAGGCCCCTGCCTACAGAAAGCCTTGTGCTCAGAAATTCACAGGTGAAGTACAAAACTAGCATTCTGTGTCAAGCTCCCTGGGACACTACATAGAAGAGACCACATACACACACACATACACACACACTCTTGCACAACAGGGCTCAATGCCCAGCTGTCCTCCAGGCAGTACTATAATGCAACACCACGTAGGCTACTAGGCTATAAGCTGATTATCTCTGTTGAAATCCAGACTGGTACTAATACGGACCTAACCATGAAGAAAAACAGCCCAACAACGCACAACAAGGACATTCACAGCAATGTTGGCTGCGGAAAATAAACTGGAGTGAAATTCACTCTTCAGCAACTTCTACTTATGTAGCAACTTTGATACTGTTAGCTGGCCACCACTGTAGACTTCACACTTCCTTCCTTAGTAGCACCTGTGTGAACAAGAGGCAGGGGAGCTCTTTGTGGTCTGTTAATTCCCATGACACAGAAAAGCAAGAAATCTGTCACCTCCTTGGTAGTATCACCCCAAGTCCCGCTCTGCTAAGTGAGGAAATGGTAAGATCCAGGGCCATATACCGCAAGGGCTGCTGAGCCAGAGCTGACATGAGAAGGATGCAACAGAGGGATGCACAAAAGTAGAACAAGAAGGGAAGAGGGACTGTGAACAGGTGAGGGGAAAATGGGAAGCTTTATGGACCATCCATACCTTCTCCTCATAGATCTTCTTAACACGAGCCACGGCCTGGGCTAGCTGCTCCTTTTCTCCTGTGAAGACTATCTCTGTCTTGTTGACGCTGGGTGGAGGAATGTTGATGCGCGTCCCTGTGTCCTGCATGAGCTCGCTCACCAGCTTGTTGTAAGGGCCAGCAATGAAGGGGTGGTACACTTTCTCCACATCTAGCCGCTCCACGGCACGCTTATCCTGGAAGAGCCCAGAACAGACTTCGGTGAGAACTGCCCTCCATATTGCAGTCTCTGCCAGACACAGCTAAGTTCCCAGTGCTGTCTTGCTTGACACTCTGGCCCAAGCACCCTTTTCAGTTTGCAGGCTTGTAGATCTCCATCCCTCTCAATCTACAGATATTGCCGTTGCTGCTGCTGATTTATGATATTCACCTCTGTAATCTCCTGCCTTATCTCAGCTGGCACCTAATATGGTTCACCTCAAATATGAAATACACTTATCTGACTTCAGAGGTGGACAAAATGGAGAACCAGAAGTTGCAGAACTTGGCAGTGGTGCTCATACAGCCAGTGGCACAGTATATGTCTCTGTTCAGACTAACATATTAGCCACTGACCATGGCCGTGCTGGCTACAAACATCTAATATACCATGGAGAAGCAAAATGGCTGTCCAGCTAATGCCATGAGAAAGATCACAGTACTGAAGTACCTGCTCGGCAGAGATAAGCAGGATCTCGTGTCGGGCCTTCTCAATCCCTTCTTTAGTGCCGGTGATCTTGATCTGGTTGCTGGGGTCATCTGGGCGGGGTATCTGGATTTTGGTTGCAGTTTTGAGCTCCAGATCCTGCAGCTTCTCGCCATTCTTTCCAATGACAAAACGGTGGTGCTCCTTGGGGATGGCAACTGTCGCTGAAGCCTGCAACACAGGAACCAAGCACCTGTGAGAACCCTTGCCTGCACTGGCAGATCCACAGGAACAGAGCCAGGGAAAGCAAGTTAGATGCTACTTAGTGGTACCACTGAGGAGCAAACACAATGCCTTCCCAGCACATTCTGTCCGAGGACTGATACTGTACCAGAACAGTTGATCTACAGTGCCTGTATACCAGGAGTCTAAAACCCACCCTTCCCTCAAAACCCTTCTGTTTGCACAGGAGTAGTACTCTGAATTAGCAAAGGCCTTTAGGCACAGACGCGTGTAAGACACGGGAGCAGTACCAGACAGCAACTGAGACAATGGCTCATGGGTGGAGTTTATCTGAACTCTGATATCTGCTGCCAAGGCTACAGAGAACAAGACACAGTTCGACTCCTAGGAAACAGAAATTCAACACCAGAAACCTATTCCAGCAGGCAGACAGCTAGGAGATGCTTACTGCTACTAAGTGCTAAGGTGTCTTCAATGTAGCACATGCTGCTCCTGGGACTGCTTCTAGAAGGCCCCTCTTAGAAAAGGGGTCCCAAGAGCTTTCTCAATCTACCATTAAAGGGCTGGTTTGTAACAGGGATTCCTGACTTCTTTCCTTCTCACTGAGTTTTTACTGACCTGGTAGCTTATGATTGCTACCATGCTCTTGATCCCTGTGAATACATAACTACTAACAGTAATTAGACACTTCAAATTCAAGCTACAATGGGGGGAGGGGGGTGGGAATCAAACAAAGATCACTTGGTGTGACTCTTCAACTCTGTGTCCCCGTACTGAAGCCAGCCAAGCCTAGAAGAAGTTGGAATACAGACACACCTTTCAGACCTGGGGCCAGGGCAGTAGGAGGTATATTTGAGGACAGTGGGTCATGGATCTGTGGCAGTACGACCTGAACTATTTTTTCAGATGTACATTATGTAGGGTTTGTCCCTTTCTCTTCCCTCTGGCAGGGTATGACACATGGGCTGAACAGCACTAAGCAGACATGGTATTAACTACTGCATTAACTACCTTTGATACTACACTTTAAAACACACTATGATACCTGGCTGTGATATATCCTAACAAGAACTACCATCTTGATTATGAACTCAAGAATCTGAAGGTAAGAAATCAAAACCTAGAGGACTGAAAGGAGAAGCAACTGAAACAACGGGGCTGTGGCTCCTTACCAGTGTGGCTTGAGTTACACAATCCAGAACTCTGACCTGAAGCTT